AACTACCATGAGAACGTCCTGATACAGGGCAGGAGAAGTGGGAACTGCTTTAGACATATTGGGAAATGTAAGGTGCATTCTGCCAAGTATGGTTGCTCTCACTTGCAGGGATGGCGCTGACGTTCTGAACAAGGGCCAATGGCCAATGCATGCAAGCCTCGTGTGAAGCAAACAACGTAGATCCATGATCCATAGATGTTTTTTTCATTTGCTGTTCTCTGTTTGACTGCCTTTGCGCATAATTAATATGTTCATATATGTTCATCTTCATGATATACTTGCTGTTGGTTTGGAGTTCACTCAAATGTTATTCTTTTTGTTTGCATGTGGATCGTTTCTCAAACACTGACATCAGTTGAGGTTCGGGCTTGGTATCAACCCAACCAGTTTCCTGCCTGTCCAAAATAGGTCCAGACAACTTCCTTCCACTTTGCCACGCAAAAGATTTCCCGAGTGGGTGTCAGTCGCTACTAGGGGCTCCTGGCCGTACTACTAGGAACAAGAAGCTACTAGGGGCTCCTGGCATCGCTACTTCGAGCGATCGGACGCTACTAAGTAAATAGAATTTGGTGTCAGTCTCGCGTTTGGGTCGTCTCCGGCCTCCAACCGTTCGTAGCGTCCAATCGCTCCGTTCGAGTCGCGATGCCCGAAATGCTCCGTTCGTAGCGATGCCCTTGGTCCTAGTAGCGTCCTTGCTCCTAGTAGTACGGCCAGGAGCCCCTAATAGCTTCTTGTTACTAGTAGTAAGGCACTTGTTACTAGAAGCGATGCACTTGTTCCTAGTAGCTTCTTGTTACTAGAAAAAACATCGCATTTGGCACCACCAGCGTTGAGTGGACTTGCTGCAGTCCATCTCTTGTGTGTTTGTGCTCCCCGATTTGGTCCAGTTTGTCCAGCTTTATCTCCGATTCCAATTTGGCCTACCTGGATAGCTATTGGAAACAAGAAGCTATTAGAAACAAGTGCATCGCTACTAGTAACAAGTGCCTTACTACTAGTAACAAGAAGCTATTAAAAACAAGAATGTAATTGACATTCCCCACTGTCTACAAGAGGGGAGTCAGCAATTTTGAGCATCGTGCATGTGTTTTACTTATATGGATCTCACATTAGCTTGAAGGACAGCATTTGTGTTCCAGTTTTGTTTTGAGATCCTGAAGGCCATCGACAAATTAGAGCTGTTGGATATGGATGATGCGGAGAAGTTCAATGCCCTGGAAAGTTGGGTGAAGGAGACGGACTCAGTGATTGATCCATTTTTCCAAAAAAAGAAGCATTGCTATGAGGTTGGAGGCCATTGCCATGAGGTTGGAAACAAGCGCCTTTAGGTTGGAGGCCCTTGCCATGCGGTTAGAGACCAGCGCTATCAGGTTGGAGGCCATTGCCATGAGGTTGGAGGCCATCGCTTTTAGGTTGGAGGCCATCGCCATGAGGTTGGAGACCATCGCTTTTAGGTTGGAGGCCATTGCCATGAGGTTGGAGGCCATCGCTTTTAGGTTGGAGGCCAT